GGCCATTGCAGTAATGTGGCACCCTTCCTGTGTTAGAGTTCTTCCATGCACAGGTTACTGAGCTGTGTTTTTGAGGTAAACAGGTACTTCAGGTCAGAGCATCAGAAGTTTTCTGTTCCCCTGAGATCTGTGACACATGTCAGGCATGACTGTGTAATCACAGCACAAACATCCTGGACCTCTGGTGAGAGACCTGCCGTCCACTAATGAACTGGCTTTCTCCAGCCAGCACTGCTTATGTTGGGGACTAAAAACTTATGCCATGTTTCCCCATGCCCTGTGCTTTTATTTGCTAAATGGCTGCGTATGTGCTTCCAACAGGGCTCAGTAAATTTGGCTCTTTGTATCCAGAGTAGCCAAATTACCTAGCAGCAGCAATTTCCATGCAGGTGCACCTTTTCTATTTATCCTTCCTTACCCGTTGGTAAGCTTTTTGATGCTTTGTGCTAGGCAAAAGAGCACAGTGCATGGACTGTGTGAACTGTGCTGTCTCCTGCACTTTTTTCCTTCACAACAAAAGCCATTCGCAGAACGGGGTAAGCCCAGGTGATGGGTTATCCTGTAGCAGAGGCAGCTGCCCAGCTTAATTTTCACTACCTCTAAGAAGAGCCCAAAAGTGCTCTCACAAAATCCCAAACCCTTTATTGTTGTTATCCAAGGAGGCGAAGAGCAGCCTGATGGATCCCTTCATAGAATCACCTTTGTTGTTAACTAGCTGGGACAAAGCATGCAGGGAAGAGCTTGTTGTACTGAGGAAATAATCTTCCACAGCAAATGAAAATGCCAAGTTTGGGTGCAGCGCAGTGAAGTGAAGTGATTTTGACAGAGAAAGTTTTGAAAACAGATACTTTTTAAACGTTCTAATATTCAGAAGTGCTTGTGAAGCCTGGTCATTCTTACCTAATTTGCTTTGTCATTCTAATTTTCAAGTTCTCTTCTCCAAGAGAAATAGCCTATTAAAACTTTTAAGATTATACTGCTAAAAGCCAATTATGTTTTCCTGTGACTGTCATCATCTACCTTCTCCAGTTGCTGTTTCTACTTAAAAAAAAGGAAGAGTGTTTGAAATCTACTTATCTGAGGGGCTGAGAGATTGGTAGGCCTTGCCTCCTTATTGTAACCCTTGCAGTGTGTCAGAACAAATAATTACTCTCATGGTTCTAGAGATTTGTCTAGAATTACAGTTAATTAACTTGCTAAAATACACTAAGATAGCACTCCAGTTTGTAGGGTAACAATTTCCACAAAATTAATTTATAGATTAATATTTTCATCCTGCAGTGCTAACACATTTTAAAACATGATTAAATTTCTAATACTGAAAAAAATAAATGCACAAGAACATTAAGCCATTTTTTTAGTTTAGCTGTTTGCACTCCAGACCTCCATGCAGTGGAACTGTGAGCAGTGAAAGCAGAAACTCAGCTGCGTTGCTGGTTCAAGGAAAGCCTGGCTGTGGCAATGCAAAGAAAACTCTCTCAAGCATCTGCTCCTAAGGCTGACAGTGGTTTACGCTAGCTACCTGTAAAACTTTGTGCCTGCATGGGACTGGAAATCATCTTAATTAAAAGAGCTCATACCAAACAACAGTGTGTTGAGTGGGTCCGATGCTTATGTTACTAACCTAAGTATAGGGAAGGAGGCATAGTTCAGAGCTCTGGGCTCCCCAGCCCAGACTGGTGGGTGCCAAGGCATTCTCATCCCCCAGCAGCACACACAGCACCACAGCTTCCTGCGAGTATTTAAGAAGTGTCTTTTGCTTCCCCAGCTTTTCTATTCCAGGCTAGGAAGTGCTGGCACACCCTCAGCTCCAGGGATGAGGACCTAAGGAAGCTGGTTAGTTTCCAAAGTCAGGGAACAGCAGGAGCAGAGGGACTGGGGCAGGAGGAGGGGAGCAGCTGCGGAAGGCGGGAAGTGAATAGATCACCAGCTGCTAATTCCTAGGCCAGCTCAAGAGTCAGCTGAGGCCAAAGGTGACAAGCAAAATCTAATTTCTGTCTGGAGGGTATTAACAACCATGGATACAAGTACTTGGCATTTAGTGTGGGAAGTTCAGCTCCACCCCCTCTGGCTCTTTTTAATCTGACCAGAAGTCAATGCTTGAAGGACCCTGCCCTTGCCAAAGTCTTTGGGAATCGCAGTGGCACTGCAGAACTCCTCCACTAAGGAGGTCAAAACGCCTCCTCAATGAAGAAGTTGCAGACTGGTTGTTTGCTCCTACTTTTCAAACCACAGTCTGCCTGTGTGAAAGGTATCTTCTCCCTATCCAGCCTTTCCTCAACAATGTGCCTCTGTCCTGTTTTCAGCCTTAGGGTCCTTTCTTCAAAGAAGTAGCAGACACCAGCAACCTTCTGCCCCTTCCCAGCCTTGCACTATCACTGCTGCCTGGCCGTCACCCCCACCCCAGCTTTTCTCCCTTTGGCTTTTGTTGCTTGGGTATTTGTGGGACCTATGAACTGCAGCACCTCTGACCACAGCCTCCCCCTGCCTGCAAGGCAGGCCCACAGAGAATAAAAGCTCTAAACCAAGGCTAAAAGTTTGAGAGCTGTTAGCAATGTGGCATGGCCAAGGAATTAACAGGAACACCAGGCATCTTCACACCATGCCAGCCCTGCAGCAGCAAATGTTATTTCTGTGCCTGCAGAGCATGAACGGGGCACCGCACAGAGATGCTGGCAAGGCTGCAGCTCCTGGGCAGCTTCTCCTACAGCAGGGCAGCCTGATCTGCAGGGTGAGCAGGGGGGAAGTGGTGCTGGTTCACACCTGAGTCAACTCTGCAAGAAGATGCGTGAAACAATTCTGTAGCTTCAGCAGAACATGAATTTCTGAGGGTGTTTTATGGCACTGTCTCACCTTGCTTGCACCAGTGCAAATTTCAGTCCTGGCTGTCACACAGTATGGCACTCCTATGGACATTTCAAACACAAAGCAGCTCACAAAGTTTACTGGGCAGCTAGCTATCCAACACCTAGAAACAAAATTTATGGCATACAGTTGTGTTCAATTCTTTGGCCTACTGGCATAACAATAGATTCATCTAAGCCTTTTGCTCACTTACAAATGGATATTAATAAGAAAAACACAGAAAAACACAGAAGAGGATATATAAGTAAGAGAACTTAATAAACACTTTGAATATTTACTATCTTATTTCCATGCAGAACTTTTTAAAGTGCCAAGTGCTATGATCTCTGTCCTGGGTTCAGTTTAAACCACGACAATCTCACATTAAGAAATAGGTGCTCCCTTTAGAGTTGAAACGAGAACATAAAGAGAACATAAAACTGTTTTCTTAAAAAACTAAAAATTTTCCAAAACAAGAATTTAAATACTATCACCCAATGGCATAAGCCTGATGTTTCACACCTGACTTCTACACGTAAACAGAAGTCTGCTGCAAGACTGGTGTGTGCATATTAATGAAAAGTCATTTTACACAACTCTTCAAATAACAATATTTAATCATTTTCACATCAAAATCACTTTGTAGCTCACCAGCATTTTCTGATTTTCTTTAAATATAAACCCAAACATTTTTAAAAGCAGCAGCTTATATCCACAGGTTTAATGCATAATTGATCCTCTTTAAAAAGGGAAAATCCATATGTTATGTGAAATACTTTCTATTAATATAATGAAAAGCAGCAGAAGAGTTTGTAACTCTACAAACTCTCTTCTCCCAGAATAATCAACTTTCAAAACAAAGCATTTTCACAAAACCTTATTTAACCTTCTTTTACAAAGCATGATATGTTGGACTTCTAACCTTGATTTATAAAATGACAAGTTATCATCTCAACAGGAGGGGAAAAAAATGTAGTCTGGTATAAGGAAACTCTTTCAAATTCAGACTTTCATTTGCAAAAACCAGAACATTTCTGAGATGTCTCTTATATTTTTGAGGTACAACTCCAGACTCAGTACTGTATTTACCACAGATACAATAGTACATCTCTTTCCAGGGGTGCAATTAAGAAGCTAGAGCTGTTCATTTCTGGATACATGTTGCAAATGTATGACTATAAATCCAAACAGAATTCTTATTCCTTATCCCTCAGTTCCTCCTGTTCTCCTAACCCCTACTAACTTCACAAAAACCATGACAAAAACATCTAGGAATCTTTATTGCTGGAAAGCTAAGATGGGACTATCATTCCTTGTACAAAAATATTTTAATGCAGTTATTTAGAAATGTTAAATAAGAGTATTTCAGTGATAAAATATTTTATTAGTGCTTCTGTTTTTGTACATTAAGCAATGTATTGGGACTTTTAAAAAAGTTCTCAAGTTTCATTATTTGACCTTTCAATCTCCGACATCACTGTTACAGTAGAAGCAGATGGTACAGTAGAGGAAATTACTCCAACAGTGAGGTTCTGTAGTGGCAGATTCATGTATGGTGGAGTATTTTATATATCTACGCATATCAAAAAGATTATGGGAACTCTGCCAACCATGTGTGAATGTGACACGCAGAGTGGTTAGCTGTGATATGGGATATGTTGGCTGGAGCCAGCTCTAGCATTCGACAACATGTAGATCCTTTATGTGGGCTTTTTCTGTCCCTCTGAAGCATCACCAATATCACTCACCCACTCACTCCACATTACGCAAAAATATCCATTATTTAAACGCTTTGCATAAACTCAACAGCGATTGCTGACAAGGTATAAGATACTCCGTGGCTAGCAAGGAACACATGAAACCACACACAGAAAAACAGGAGACCTTATTTTGAAAGGATAAAAGCAAACAGAGAAACTGGAAGAAATGCGCATGGCAGGGGAGTTGGAACTAGATGATCTTAAAGTCCTTTCCAACTCTAAGTATTCTATGATTCTATGAAGCAAGCACCAGGTTCAATAAAATGATGAAAAGTATGTCCTGATGCAAAACCAGGACTATAAAGTGTATCAGTCTCTAAGTGTACAACATAATGTAACAAACAATACCAGGTAAACAGCAAGTGAAACAATGTCACACAACAGAGAACCTTGTGTATGAGATAATACAACTTTTTATTCACGTTTTATAGATTATTTTCATTTATTTTTGCTTTAATAATGCATATTCTGTTCACTCTGTGCAAAACTGGGGACAGACGCAGGCGTTAAAATCATCTAATGAAAATCAAGCGGAGATGAACATTCGAGTTGAGGGAGGGGCCCATCAAAGCCAGGAAAGCTAAAAAGCCACAGCTGCTCAAGACAAAGCTGCTTTCAGCTGCACCCTTTTGCCCTGCCACTTTGCACAAACCTGGCTCTCCTGACTGAGCAGCTGTACACTGAGAAGGTGTCCTCCGCCGGACACCAAGGACAGGAGTCGTCGTGGTAGCTACATTACGGAGACCTGACTTGTGACCGGCTCCAGTCAGTGTGTGGCAAAGAAAGGCACAAATCATTGCAAAGACCAGATTTCTGTTGGTTTGTTTCCTTCTTGTAAATACATTACTGTACACAATGTAAGTTTAAACTGTATTGGATTTGGGGACATAAAATTGCATATTTAACAGAACTTTAAAACCATAACAAAAAGTAGGCTGTTCTATCTTGAAGCAAAAATAATCCCTCCAGCCCCAACATTAACATTCATTCCTGGCTATATGCAGTAGAAACATTTTAAAATCTGTGACAAAAGACAATTAGAAACCAAAAGTCAAAATCATAAAGCTTGTAAACAGATAATCTGAAATACATTTTATTTATGGAAAAATATCATCAAAATAGTACCACTATGGACTAAACTGCCTGAGTTTTCATTTCATCTAGGATCTTGAAGTAGAGAGCCTTTAGCACAAGAGGATCAATTTCAGTCACGACTAGTGCTGCACAGCACTGCTTCAGGTGGAAGTTTTGTCCTCATTGTTGGTGGTTTTATTGTGCTATCAAAAACTGTTGTGCTAATCCTTCAGATAAAGGGATGTTGAGGCAATTCTTAAATCATTTGGCACAAAGTTATTTTGGCTGGGGCATAAATTTGAGTCTCAGTCATGAAGAATAATGCAATATTCCACCTATCAAGCATTCACTTTGATTGAAGAGCTTTCTTTATGTCATTAACTTCCATCTGAAAACAAACAAGTAAAAAAAATTGTGATGAAATTAGATGCCTTAGCAAGCTGAGGCACCATTTCTAGGTACTGATAAAAAAGCACATTCCATCTTGTCAGCAGGTGTTGAGTACAGGTTTTATACTATTCTTATTTCCAGAGATTTTACAAATTGAGGTGACCTTCTCAGCTGTGTAAGATGACCACTCATGGCTTTCTCCCCTCAGAGCTTGATACTGAATGTAACACAAGACCTTTCAAGCTCTTTAAATTACAATTTTTACAAGCCATGCAGCTCACTGCCAGGAATTACTTGCAGAATGAGCACTGTGTCCTTGCATCAGTTGCTGCACTTACACACAGCACAAGTAAACTCAATTGCCGACAATGAGCAGTGATAGCTGAGGACCAAAACCTACTGTCTCTCTCCCGTAGGGAATGGCAGTTGCCTTCTACACCCATCAAGCCTGCATCTAGGCACCTTAAAGGCTCTGATGGATGTACAGCCATGTGGTAAAAGGATGTGGCTGAAACCATCATCAGACCTAGCTGCACACTCAGCCTCTCTAACAGACCCTGGAAACCCTGAAGCAGGGGTATTAGATTTATTCAAACACACCTGTGACACTCAACTGTGGCCTATCATCAAGGCAGTTTTCTTTAATACACGGACTCCTAAACTAATTCAACTTGTGTTTCTTGAACTCTCACTTTCATGTAAAACTAATAATGCCACCTTGGCTAGCATCTGAACATCTACCAGTATATGCAACATCTGAACAGGAGTAAAAGCATTTTAGATCATAATTTTAAAACCATCAGTGCAGGTCTCTGTTTGCAGATGTAAAGCCAACCTTGTAGGTGGACTTTGAATAGTTTGGCCTTTTAGACTAAATCAGTAACTGTTATTAAAAATGTTCATTGGTTTTATCTGAATAAATGTCAGTTTTAGCCGAACATGTATTGTGTGTTCTTAGAAGCCATACTTCTATGTGGCTTCATGCATAAAGCCCATTAGGCAGCCCCAGAGCACAGGTATTGATGGTTCCCAATTCTGTTACTCTTTGGCATATTCCCAAGTAGTTTACTGAGTGGAAACAGCCCAGTGAAATTACAATTTGATTTTCTACCCTGAGAACAAAGAAAAAGTACAGTTGACCTATAACATAAAAATATAAAATATAATCAATACTAAACCACTTATAAAGAGACTAGAACAGAATAGAATAGGACTATTTCAGTTGCCAAGGACCTACAAGGATCTTCTAGTCCAACTGCCTGACCACTTCAGCACTGATCAAGTTAAAGCATGTTATTAAGGGCTTTGTCCAAATCACTCTCCAAAACCCAGAAAAGCAGTTTCATCACCACTCCATATTGAAGCAGTGCAGTCAATAACACTAGCAAAGGTTTGGCTCCGTGACTCTCACACAAGCAGGGCAGCATGCTGTCTGGCAAATGATTAAGCCAGCATGACAACATCTAGAGCCAAGGTACAATACAAATGATAGTAGCAATAACTGGGGTCTTAATTAGAGCACCTTCTTTTATATTGTTTAGGATGCTTTCGTAAAGACAACCTGAGTACAATCTGTAAAGCAGACATAAAAATCTTGCTATATGAAATAATGTTCCAAGCATATCAACACTAAAACAAGCCTACTACAAAAGAGAAAGCTTTGGGAGAGAGCAAGTGATTTAAAGAGACATGATTTCACTCGTGAAAATATCAAACCATTAAAACTGAGACTAAAAAAATTAATAGTTTGAATCCTATATTGCATTTATTTATTTTTTTTTAATTTCTCTCCTTGTGCTGATAAATTTTTAGATAATTAGGCTTTTCAGTAAGAACCCAGTACTGTGATATATATGACACCGACTGGCAACACTATGAAGGGAACAGGTATGTCCCTTTCAGAAATGTTAGTATCATCTGATTCAACTAGAACCTAGCAGAGTTTTGTGTCCCATACCTGAGGCTAAATCAAAGCTGCCAATACTTTCATAACATTATTAATAATTTAAGTACCTGCAATCGTAGACGGATCTTCTTTTCTTCATCCAGCTCAGATAGCAACTGTTTAATTTCTTTTCTGTTAAAAGAATGCAAAAAAAGAAAAAAAAAGTTTGGAATGGTAATGATTAAACTAGCAAAATACAAAAGGTAACCTCTTAGAGTCATATTTTCCCTTCTTTACTAGTTACCTTTTTTCTTCTGGACAACTAGCTAAAGTCAGCACGTTCTTGTATACTATGTGTTATATCACAGACTCTATAAAAAGACGCGTCCCATACAGTGTCATGATTAATACGTTTCCTCCCTGCATCCACAGACTTTGTTCTGGACTAGTTGTTATCAACACTGTATCTGCACCCAGTTGTCTTTTTTCCCTACAAAATATAGACGGATTTGCTGTTGGTGGGTTATTTGGAACTGGTAACACATATCCTGTCCATGCTATCACATATTTAAGCTACTTATAAGCTGTTTATGACAGCAATAAAAATGTAACCTTCAACTTAATTTATAAGACTTAATGATCCCTAATATGGATTTGCTGTCATCCTTCTTTGTCCGGAAGGGGAACACAGCTATTTGAAGCAGACATTTCATGTTCCCACTGAGTGATCTCACCTTGAACTGAAATCAGCAGGTGGAAGCAGCCCATACAAGAAAGCCTGTGAAGACCAGAGGACCAAGAGCCAGCATTAGAGGTAAAGCTGTGGGGTTTCCTGGCTCCATACAGCTTCAACCAGGCCCTCCTGCATCTCTTCCCAAACTCCCCACACGTCTCTGTTAGCCACAGCCTGTGCATGCTGCTTTCCCTTTACTTTCTCCTGCCTGGGCTACGCACAACTGACAATGAAAGTGAAGGTTTAGCTTCCAAAATATTTAATATTCTCAGGAACAGGAAAAGCTACATGCCAGCCCCAGTTTCTCCTAAGAAATTAGCATCTTAGAGAAAATAAAGATGCCCAACACTAAAATAGTAAGATTCAGGCTCATAAACACAAAGGTCTTCTAATGTCCTAATTTAATTACTTCTTTTGTAATATGAGCTTTCTGGGAAAACATGCTAACAGTCAAACAACAAATTGATTCAATAATTATAGGAACTTTTTATTATACTAATACTAATTTATTATTCTAATTTGCATTACAACAAAAACAAATGCACCCCTTTTTAATATCAGTGCATATGAGTTTCCAAATAGTTACTGGCAAATAACCTTATTCACTGCTTACCACTTGTAACTTAATTTTTTCAGCACCCCATAAACATCTGCTTATGTCATAACACAGGGAAAAAAAGCTGTTACAGATGGATAGTGGCAGTCTTTTTTCCTGAGATTCACACCGCTGAATGTGTTCTATCAGACAAAAATCACCCCCAAACAGCAAGGCAAGCTGTGCAGCATAACTTACATGAAGGCAAGCTCAAGAAGAAACTGCCACCATCATGCATCAACAGACGCATCCCACCTACAGCTGTTATTTGCAGTGCTTACTTTTGCTGGTCTTTCATAGTTTCAATGATGGTTCTTAGCTCCTTAATTTGTGTTCTCAGCTCCTCCAGGGTAGTCTGACCTTGGCTCAAGTACTCAGTCTTTGGCTTTCCTTCAGTACCGAACAGGGACGGGGAATTCGGCCTGTGGCTTGTTCCCATAGCAATTGAGTGAAATCCAGGTGACGGTGAAGGAGATAGTGATGGTTGTATAATACAGCCAGAAGTCAAAACTCCTGGTTTTGGAGGCAAGGAATTTTTATTATCAGACACCTGCAACAAAAAGAATAACACCTAATGTCTGGAGAAGGCTTTATGAAAATCAGACCATTAGGCAAATAAGTGTTTTGCTGCCCTTCAATAATGTTGAAAGTCCATAGTCAAACATGGACAGTTTTGGCCACACAATGATAAATATAACAATTAGTCATTATCTTTGTACATGTACATCAGAAGGGGTATAGCTGGGATGCAGAAGTTCAGGTAGCTTCAGTAAGGCTTTCCACAGTTGCTACAACCAGTCAGTAAAAGTGTTTCTGAGATCTCAGACCTAGCAGTGAAAAGAACCAGGGATGGATGCTCAGAGTTTCCCACAGACATTTCTGAGAACACACCTACATCCATGGATGTCTCCTGCAGAGCTCAAAACTACATGGCCAAGAATCCAAGTTGTATTTTTCTGCAGATTAAATTTATGATTGTCAACTAACAAGTGAAGTTATCTTCAACACCTAATGTTTTATAAAAATTAAAAAATTTGTTACATGTCACTCTTATTGTTATGAAAATACCAAAATATTCTGTAAGCTTGCTAACTGGTATGATACAAAAAGTAAAACAAAATCCCATGGCTTCAGAATGTTAATATATTAATAAGAAATAAATGTACTGTACTGTCCTCTGTTTGCTGAAGCTTCTGTGAATCCTCATACCTACCAATGTCTTTTTGTTCCTCCAAGGACTTAACAGAAAAATGCAGATTTAACCTAGTTACCTTGGAACCAGGTGCCTGGCTCATAAGGATCCCCTACTTCTTGAACTGCAATCCAGTGCTCTACTTATTAGACAAGGTACAGAAAAATCTGAAGTCCATGACTTTACCAGATATGACCAGCTACTTCACTGCATACACAGAACAGTGTAGAAGTGCAGTTATCACAATGTCAAGTAAGGTGAATCTTAATTATTTATCATGTTGCTATTTGGCAATGCTAAAGTGTGCATTATATGACAGCTACCAGGAGTATCTGAAAATCTGATTTGGCCAAGAGTAAGAAAAAGCATGAGGCAACCCTCCAACTCTATCTTGGGCAAAGAGATACTGAAGTTGAGTGGCAAAGAAGTTAATCTATCGAGAAAAAATTGTATGGAAATGGAAGGAGACATTAAAAGTAAGGACTTGGGGACTGGGGCAGTGGCATTAGCTGGATAAAGTAACTGAAAGAAAAGTAGTTGGTCAGATGGAAATTAGGAGAAAGTGTGATGGGAAAGGAAGAACAGGATCCTCTGAGATTCTGATTCCCCACTACAGGAGCATGATTGAGCACAGAACCTGTCCCAGGCAAGCACTGCATAAAAAGGTGTCCTGCAGAAATGAAAATGGTGTTATAATCACAAGAAAGCTGAATCACTCCAGAGGCTTGAATGCTTGACTTCATGACCTTAATGATTCTCTTTTAACATTTTATATATATGTGTGCATGTTTGAGAGCCTATAAATGGATTGTTCATGGATAATAATCTTTATATCAGTAGATGCAAGTTTCCTTTTCACTGAAAAGAGATGTCAGGCTGAGCTTGAGCCCAGAGCAAGTGAGAAAGGCACAACTGGAGTCAGCCACACTGAACACCTTATTCCAGAGCTTAACTGGTATCGACATTAAAGCCTCAAGCAGCTATTTTCTGATAGCAGTCATCTTGTTTTACAGGAAGATCATCTACATCCTTGGCACAAACATACAATTTACAAATGTTGGCCCAAGAGTATTCCTTAATGCAGATGCTCCCAGAAGAGGGAGCTATATAGCAAAACATTATCCTTATAATTTCATCACAGAAGTGCCTTGATTTGAAAGATGACTCCATCTTTCAAATACTTCTATTATACTATTATAATGTATTACTTGTATTATTAAAGATATCCTTATGTACTAAAAAATAGCTCCAACCTCTAAAGCCTGATATACCCACTCTTTCTGTAATCGATTATCCTAGTTTTCTGCCAAAATACAGTACGAATGGCACAAGCCTATAAAATGAATACAATTATATCAGTATAAAAAGTGATCATACTTGCAAATTTCAATTCATGTACTATCAGAGTGGGTCAAAGAGTTGTATTTGCTTATAAACTCTTCTAATGTAAACTGAATTTACAGCTGCCCTGAAAGGCCTGTGTTTCTAAAATTTATTTCCCTAGCTTCTCTCATTCTGTGCAACGTATGTACACTAGAAGGGTTTTTTTCACAGTATGGCTATGGAGACATTTGAACTCTGCAATTCACTCCAGACATAGAACAAACTTTAGTAACCTTTACCATTTCAAGCTTCTTTAAAGGCCAGTTACCAGGTGACTGTTGATTTAAAATTTGAAAATAAGTATTTTAATACAGTTTTAAAAAATGAATATGCACATGATAAGGTTAAGCAGACACTTTCCAATTCACTTACTTGTGATATTGTAACAGTTCTTGATTTCCTTGACACTTCAATAGTTTTCTGAGTAATGGAAATATGCTCCTCCTTCTCTTCTTCAGGACTTGGGGAGTCAAAGAAATCAGGGCTTGAAAGGGATGACTAGGTAAACAAACACACACACCACAAGAAAGGGAAAAAAAAAAAGAAAAAAAGCAGGTATTTTCACTGTGCGATAATTTGACAAAGGAAGAAGAAGAGCATTACGTGAGGACATTTTTATTTTATTCTTTTTTTAGTTATCATTTTCAAAGTAATAAAACCAGGACTCTTTCTCTTCCCACCCTTCTTTTTTACATGCTATTTGCAAGGCTAGAATGCTTTCAAAGCATTCATGAAATAAGATACACTTAAGACTTGAATCCACCATTAATTTACATCTTTGCATTGCGTTATGTTGTAAGAAGAAAACACATTCCTGTCCATAAGAACAGCTTATTTAGCTAGGACACTGAGCACTGTGCTGTGGGGATGCCAACTCTGCCACTTGGGCAGCTCTGCCATGGCTTTGTTCAGTGCAGGTCTCACTCTGCTGCTCTTCAAAGGACCCATGCTGCTGCCCACGCACACTGCTGGTGCTGCAGGGCTGCCTTATTCATGGCCTCTGTAAAAGTACAAACAGGGAAGGTTTTTTCCACCCCTTGTTCCTCTCCCCGGAGATTTGACAGGGGAAGAAAAACCTTTTCAGCCATCTTTTATGTTTCTGTATTTATGTACATAGTCAATTTGAAAGATTTCTTTTACACATTCTATCAGTTTCACAATAATCCTTTTTGTTTCCCTCCACTTTTGCTTCAGCAACATGAACATGGGCAACCATAAGTAGCCGCTGTCATTCTGATATCCAGAATGCAAAAAAGCACAGAAATGAACAAACCCCAAAGAAGATGACACTAAAAAAACTAAGCAATGGTTTCTCAAGTATGGTTTATGAGATCAATTTGTCCAAAGACACATATTAAAGTGTGAAATTTAAATCACCGTTATATGTATGATTGTGAGCTTAATGTGAAGAGACATGATGGCTCAAGGAGAGCTGTCAAAGGCTGAAATGGTCTGTTTGTGCTCAAAATCTACTAAACGTCCTAAAGAAACCAAAGGAATTGCTTCTTTTGAGAATCACTTTCAAAATCCTTAATACTTAGCACAAACCAGTTTATTTCACAGATTTTTAGAAAGGACTTTTCTGGCCTCAGTCATGGCTGGCAAGGAATACTTGGCAGCACCCAAATAAGGGGTTACAAATCTTATAAGGGAGGGAATGTTTTAAACATCAGTATTCAGAACACTCAGCTTTTCAACACTAATTTTCCTGAGCTGCATTTCTCTGCCTCACTGTATGTGTGCAGGAATGGCTGTGGAAATGTAGTAAAACACCAGGGAATGCAAATGGGGAGAGGGGTGAAAAATCAGAAAAAAATATTTTTAAGAGAAATGGAAAATTAACTTACAGATGTGAGAGACTGGGAGGGTGGTCGCCTGCCAGTAGCTTTTGGTCTAGTTGTAGTTGGATGATTAAGCTTCTCAGCAATTGGTATTACAGAGTCAAAACCTTCCAAGTCTTAAAAATAAAACAGAATTGAATAGGTTTTCTGGAAACTGTCCTCAAAGGGAAAGAATCACAATTTTTTTTTTCTAATTTCAAAGAAATCAAATCCCATTTTCTCCACTGTGTCACAGTGTTCTGCACATGTTTAGCCACCTGGATGACACTAAAAACCTGGAAGTCAAAGGTGGCTGTAATCCAGTCACCCTTACTATGCAAATTTACCCTTCCCTCTCAAACACAATAAAGCAGAGGGAGAATGTGTAGAGGAGCCTTTGGCTTTATTTTCATTGTAGTGAAAGCTAAATGACATGGGTTGTATGGCTTGAAATAAACAGTTTCAAAATTTCCATCTTGCTACTAAAGGGCTTAATATTTTTTTTTCTTGAATAATTGGAGAGGTAAGACAGTGCACACATCTCAAGAACTGTACTGTCAGTGCTGCATCTGCAGCAACTGCTTAGGGGAGCACAGAATGAGAATGAACTAGCTGTAAGTGATCTGTAGGTTCCTGCAGGAAGCATAGTTTCTAGTAGCTATAGGTGAGAAGATTATCTCCCTCCTGTAGGCCAGGGGTTATGGTAAGTAAAAACTCCAACAGGCTCCTGAAGTGGTACAGAGCCCAGGAAAAATAGGTCTGCTCAAACGCAGTATCAACTGTCTTCATACTTAGTGAAAGGCACTAGGGAACTGTTTACTGAATCCAGCCACGTGGTAGCATGTTTACGTGAAAGAAAGATGTGAAGGTTGAAGGAATACCACAGCTTGTGATTACGTGCCTGAATCAAATGGCTTAACACCATTCATCTATTTTTATGGGTTATATCAGTTTCACTCACCTCCATTTCAAAATACCCTACTGCATATGTTAAGCAGAAATGAGTCAGAAAACCTGCAAGAGGCACTTTAGACAACAGATATAAAAATTCTGTAAAATTACTTTCAGACATTAATCAAATACTGGAATAATATTCATTATTCAGAGACTGTTTTTCATTGCACGCATGTAGGAAGAAATAGCTTTTAATAGTTATATATACTGCACACTTAATTTTCAGAACTGTGATAGAACAATGAATCTCTGAAGATCCAGCCATATTACAACCATTGTACAAAATTACACAATGGAAAGACGAATGAATTAATAGGCCTGTAAAAGAAGTTATGTGTGCTGAAGGACACAAGCTGATTCCAAGTACTCATGATTTGGCAGCTAGGAAGCAAAGGGGATCAGACATTCCTTATTCAGCAATATTCTTCCATTTCTGGGAGATAAAAAAAGAAAGAGACCTCTTTCAATAGCCCTGAAATAGACTAAGGTTATTCACCTCCAAGTACAGCTCTATTTTTGGAGCAACTCTTCTTACATATAACAAGTGACCCCACTGTCCTCTACCAGGTATTTCTCTCATTGCTTTTTTGCTGACTGTTGCAACCTACATGCAAAGGTAGGTCGCCCAGTCTGTCAAGGGAAATTTGGCAATGCAAAGACAAACCTATCAGGTAAGGCTGCAGTGCTTTTAAAGTAAAAATGAGCTAACATTAGCAGACAGCACAAAACCTATCTGTAGTCCAAAAAAAAAAATGCAACTGTAAGAGCTAGTTTCCAGTAATATCCAGTTTGAAGCTGATGTGTGAGATAGCTAAATGACTTGCTTAAGATCACAAAGCAAATCAGTGATGTATTTTAATAGTCCTTATTTTTGCCAATGTGTTACTTTGTTAAGTTGCACAGCAAGAATATATTGCCACCAAAAATATACACCTGCTTATAAAGATATGAAGCTCACATACATAAATACAAGTGGAGATTGAAGCAATCCTTCCACTTCTCCCAGCCACTCTTTCTCACCTGTGTTTACTACATTTTTTTCCTGAGCTAGTTTTAATCCAGCTCATTTTCCAACAGCAGGTGTACAGCCACCAAAACACCCACACTGAAGGAAGGATCAGTATCAGTACCAGAGGAGTGATACCAGCTGCTAAAAACTGAGACGAAGAGCAGACTACTGCTTTGAGGGGCAGCAAATGGCTGAAGTTATCTTGGAGCCTAGGAAGGCTCCAGTGCATGACTTCCCTCTCTCTGTATTGCTGCTTCTGTGGTAAGCACCACTGTCCCTTCCTCTGTTCCTACGAAAGATAAGCATCTATACCAATATGGAAAACAATCAATGAAAAAAACAGTGAAGGCATTAATTCAATGTGTTTCTTTGGCTTAAATAAACTAATAATTACCTAGAATTCTATGTTTGATCAGAATAATCAAATGTTCATGCACAAATTGTAAAATACATTTATGAACAGAGTGTATGCATTTGTGTCCTTGAGATCCATAAGCACTTGCAGATAAAATTTTATGCTCCACACATTTTATTAATACCATGAAAGATAAGCATTTCTATGCAAAGTTTCTAGTATCAAGAAATATTAGGAATCTTCATTTTTTTCCTAGGTAGAGGAAAAAAAAAAAAAAAAAAGCTAGAAAAATAAACACATGCAGCCTGTACCTGTCCTGAAATCAAAAAAAAATGAAAAGAGCAGAACAGAGGTCGGAAAGGTTCCACAGGTAGAATCTGCTGCCAAACTAGTGAAATCACAGCCATTCAGCTGATACTATAAATGAAAATCTATTTAAGTGTGAGGGACAACACTTGGTACAATGTTAAAATAGTAAATCCACTTCCAGTACTTCCATACACCCTTTACTCTCCAGTTTGTTCTCGCTATTTAGATGTACTTCTCACTCTTGAATCCACTCTGCACCTGAGGCTATCACCATCTTCCACGGTCATTCAGGAAAATTACCATCTAGTAAACTGGTAACTAGTAAAATGAGAAACAAAACCACCCAAGAGACTTTTGCTTTACTCTCATTTATATTCTAAATTCAATAATGAATTCACTCATACTGGTTATTCCATTATTTTTTGCTGATGGAAAGCAAGGTTATACGGCTGTGGCTATATTATACTCCCTGAGGTCATTAAATGCAGATATCTGATTTTAGCTTGTATTTCTGTAGCTATCAGAAACCAGGAACTTTCATTTGCATACTAAATGTAAAACCATCCAGCTTGAGCTGGACCAAATGGAGCCATTAAAAATAAAGTGCGGTCTACTGTATTTACAGCCATGCTAACTGCCAGTAATGCAGCAGCAACACCCAACAGACCTGAACTCGGCCCTAGTCCAGCAGTGTTTACTAGTTAAAAACAGTAGGGAAAGCTCTGTTGAACACATAGAACATAGAGGGCACCCATCGATTAACAATGCCGCTCCCTAAGCAAAAGGTAGTTGATATTTGTTGGATTTCTGTATCACTTACTACTTCTGTGGTTTACAAGCAATTATAGACCAAGTCTTCCAGAATCTCTTGGAAGGAGCATTTCCTACCCTGCTTTACAGAGAGAATGGAGCATCGGAGAGGACTGGATCCTGGTCCAAAACATGCTGAACACCACCTCCATGAAATGCAGAAAGGAGGCTGCTGTGATGGTAATCTGGTCTTGTAGCTAAGTAGGTGAGGCTTGTTTAGTTGGAGAAGCAAAAAGAGGCACAGAAGCCTGCAGAAGTACAGGGAGTGGGGAAGGGAGTGCACACAATAAAGTAGACAGCTATTGGTTAATCCTTGTTATGGGTGGAAACAGGCTCTGCAGTGCACACATGTGGCTGCTGTACAAAACCTGGAAAACATCAATTTAAACACTGTTCAACATGAGGGGAGACAAGGGGTGGCCGTGAGGGGTGAAGGGTGGTCGTGAGGGGAGATCATGATGAGAAAAGGGCAGCCACAAGGGAAGACTACAAAGGACAAGGAGGGGCAGCCATGAAGGAAGATTGTGAGGGGACAAAAGGGGTGGCCATGAGGGGAGATGAAAAGTGGCCATGAGAGAAATCCTGAGGGGAGAGTAGGAGCACCCATGAGGGAAGACTGCGAGGGTAAAGAAGTGGTGGCCATGAGGGGAGATAATGAGGGGAAAGGAGGGGTGGCCATGAGGAGTGAAGGGCAGTCGTGAAGGGAAGAGGAAGGGCAGTGATGACAGAAGATCATGAGGGAAGATTGTGAGGGGAAAGGATGGGCAGTCACAAAGGGAGATCATGAGGGGAGAGGAGGGGTGGCCATGAGGGAAGATCATAAAGGCAAAGGAGGGGTAGCCATGGAGGGAGACTGAGGGGAAAGGAAGAGCAGCCACAAGGGAAGATCATGAGGGGAAAGGAAGGGTGGCCATGAGGGAAGATCATGAGGGGAGACAAGTGGTGTCCATGAGGGACCATGGCGGCCATGAGGGGAGTTTGTGAAGGGAAAGGAGGGGCTGCCATGAGGGGAGATGAGCAGTGGTCATGACGGGAGATTGTGAGGCGAAAGAAGGAGAGGCCATGAGGGCCGATCATGAGGGGAGACAAGGGGTGGCCATGAGAGGTGAGGGGCTGTTGTGAGGGGAGATCATGAGGGGAGAGGAAGGGTGGCCATGAGGGAAGATCATGAGGGGAAAGTAGGGGCACTCATGAGGGGAGATCATGACTGGAGAGGGGGGGTTGGCTGTGAGCAGAGATCATGAGCAGAGAGCAAGGGCAGCCATGGGATGTGAGGAGTGGCCATGAGAGGCGAGGGGCAGCCATGAAGGAAGATCATGAGGAAACATCATGAGCAGAGAGCAGAGGCAGCCATGGGGTGTGAGGGGTGGCCATGGGTGGTAGGTGTGGCAGCTATACAGTGTGGGCCACTGTGGGTGCAGATGAGGGGTGGCTGTGAGTGGAGATCATGAGTGGCAGCCATAAGAGGAGATCTTGAGGGGAGATCAGTTTGACCTTTGTGACATGGTTTAGTGGTGGGTTTGGCAGTCCTGGGGTAAAAATTGGACTTGATGATCTTAAAGGTCTTTTTCAACCTACTTGATTCTATGATTCTATAAATAGATACATTCATCGTTATTACAGTCTCACTGATCAAGCAAGTAATTCATGACGTAATTCATGACATGGTAAGAAAGATAGAGTAATTCTAATATAGTAAT